AAACACTTGCAGATCAAGAAAATGAGAAATACACCATGTGATCACTGAATACTGTACAGTGAATATTTAAATTTTTTAAAGTTTATTACAATACAGCCAGGCATGGTGGCTTGCATCTGTAATCCCAGCACTCAGGAGGCCAAGGCAGGAGGATCACCTCGAGTTCAAGGCCAGCCTGGGCTACACAGTGAATTCAAGCCCAGCCTGAACTATAGATCAAGACCCTGTCTCAAAAAACAAAACAGAAAAAAACTTTATTACATTAAAGGACACATTTCCATAGACTACTCCTCAAAATCTTCCCCCTCACTCCAAACACACTTATCCCTTTGTGAGTGTAACTGAAGAGCAGAGATGTGCCCAGCTCATGAAAGGCCTTGGGTTCCATCCCTACACTGAAAAGAAGACTGTGGAAAGGCTGGAGAAGTAACTTCCACGGAGCCCATGTGAGAACTCTACAGACGCTGACATGTGATGGGAAATGACTTGCATGACAACTATAGGCCACTCTGTATGCTCTGCAGGGCCCAGGGCTGAGCAACACAGGGCCTGCTCTAATCCAAGCCACCAACGTCAAAGGGAGGACAAAAGAGGCCAGGCTCCAGGTGCATTCTGGGTATCCAGCAGGATAAACTGAAAGATGTGGGATGTGAGAGAAGAACAGGTTGAAGAAGACCCAAAGGGGGTCTGGCAGATAAGAAAGGAAGAGAGGAGGCTGGCAGAGGGAGGCCAGGAGGCAAGCTTTAGTGATGGTCAAGTGGAGAGGCAGTGCATGGTGGCACATGCCTGTAATCTCAGCAATCTAGGAGGCTGAAGTAGGAGGATCACAAATTCAAGCCCAAGGCAACTTAATGATTTAGGGAGACCCTGTCACAAAGTGAAAAATGAAAAAAGAGTTGGGGGTGTAGCTCTATGGAAGGCCTGAGTTCAATCCCCAGTATCACAAAAATATAAATAAAACAAATAAATGAAGCTAAGAAGACAGAAGTCAGAACAGTCACCCTGAGATGAGAGCAGGCAAGCAGCTTCTTGGAGAGTACACAGGCAGACTTGGGGGAGCAATGGCCCCCACAAGGATCGGGCTGCCAGCCACCCGCTGCATATCAAGGCCAAGCTCCTCAAGTTGCATGCTTAGGATGTGTCCCCTGCCTGAAAAAAAAAGAAAACATTAAACCTTGGGAGTCACAAGTCTTAGACACTGGCTAGATGTCCAGTAGCCAGTAAAGGCTAAGCAGGCTAGGACAGGGTCAGGGTAGGGTGAGGACAGAAGCTGGGCAGGTCAGGCGACAGGCTGGCTGCAAACAGAGGAAAAACAGGAGCTGTAAGTAGCCACTATCCCTTTGGGTCTACGAACTCTGAGGGCCTTTGGATGAGCGGCACATAAACATCAGTGGAGAGACCCCAGTGGGGTCCAAGGGCACCAGAGGTCTCAGGGACTAGAGAGCCAGCAAATGGTGTGACTCCAGAGATGAGAGCAGGTGGCAGGACAGGAGGGTGCGGACAACCAGAGAAGAGCACTCCAAGAGAAGAAAGACAGAAACCAATCCAGGAGACACTCCAGCCAGGTGTTGTGGTGCACACCTGCAATCCCAGAACTTGGAAAGCCTCAGCAGGAGGATTTAAAGTTCAAGGCTGGCCTGGGCTACACAGCAAGACTCCAGGAGAGACGAAACATGGGTATCAACTAGACAGAATCCTCAGTGAAGGCAGGCAGTGACTTTTACCATAAGAAGGTCATTGGTGTCCCTGGGGTTCAAAATGTGAAAGGGAACAAAAAATATAATCTTTTTTTTTTTTCAGAAAATATAATCTTAACCAATCTACACATAACATTTAAGGAGTTTTTTTGAAGCTCACATATTCATTCTTTCTTGCAAATGCCCCATGGTCTGTGCCAGGATGGAACCCAACCTCCAAAGGACCCAGGCATCTGTCTTGAATACCCTGGACTGACTGATTCTCCTGTGTACAAAGGCCTCTGCTTCCCCTGGAAAGTGATTCTGGGCAGCAGGCGGCACTGATTTCAGCTCTCATGGAGAGATTACTGCTCTGTTACCATAGGAAGACCAGAAAAAGAACAACGCTTGGACTTCAGTGCCAAGAGCACTTAATGTCTCAGGAAAAATTTCTGATGATTTCTTCTTTTTTCCTTTCAGTACTTGGGATTTAACTCAGGGCCTTAAACATTCTAGGCAAGTGCTCTGCCACTGAGCTACTTCCTCGGCCTTGCTGACCTGGAACTCACGATCCTCCTGCCTCAGCCTCTTTATCTGCTGGGATCACAAGCATGTGCCACCACTGTGGCCTGGTGATTCTTTTCACAGCCAATGCATATCATGTAACAGAACATCTGTTTGCCACAACCAATGGAAAGACCAGATCAATGTGCTGGAAGCTCATGAGGCCTCCCTACTTCTGCCCACCACTGTGTCCTAATATCAGTGAATGCTTGTGTATTTTTCCCACACATTAACTCCCTTTTACTTCCACATTCCCATTCTAAACTGAGACACTGTAAACAAGTAAGGAACTAGAAATAAACAACTCGGGAGGGGGAGAGGAAGGAAAAAATGGAAACAAAGTCATTGTAAACAGAGAAGGGTGGAAGGGGTGAAGGGAGGGCAGGGGAATGGGGGAAAAAATAAGAACCAAGATACATCATGTAAAGGTACAAGATCCCAATGATGAATGTAACTACATCGTATATCTAAAATGTATCAATAAAGTTAATAGAAAAAAAAAGAAATAAACAACTCACCTGAGACTCATTCATTTTCTGCTGCTCTAGGAAACAGGTAGAGAATTAGCAAAGTGCACCTGCGGAAGAATGAATCACAAGCCAGGCCTGGTAGGGCATATCTTGTTATCCCAGCACTGGGGAGGCTGAAGCAGGATTGCCTCCAGGCTATATAGTGAGTTCAAGGCCAGCCTGGGCTACACTACCATATGCTGTCAAAACAAAAACAAACAAACAAAAATCACAAGAGGCATGGCCCACCTTGTCCTCCTGGATTCTCTGCTTAGAAAGCTCTATATCCTGTGGTCAGATATTAGTAGGAGAAATGTTATAAACAGCACATGTGAAACCACTAGTTTAAAACAGGCTTTTTTTGTGAGCAAAGTAAGTTTATTCCAGTGAACAGACTAAAACTGGGGACTAAAATCAGGGAGAGATTTTAGCAGGTAGCTGGGAAATGCTGAGTGTATCACATCTGTGTGTGGATGGGCTGATGTTGGGAGAGAGAAATAGCAGCGGCTAGCCGGGAGAGATTTCATCCATGGGTGGGTGGGCTAACATTCAGAGATATTAGCAACTAACAGGGAAAGGAATTTGGCTTATATAGGTATTGAAGAGGCTAAGCAATCTGGGGTGAAATGTTTATGATTGAGTCCAAGGACAGTCAGCACAGGTGTGTAGACAATCACTGGACTTTTTGGTGCCTGGGAAATTGTCTCCCCTTTACTGAGAAATAGCCTGTTGTTTGCTGAAAGCAGCCTGTTTGCTTTTGTCCTGTTTGTGAAGGACTCAGTTGGGTCAGGCATGACAAGAAAGGCACTAACCCTCAGCTAACTTGGCGATGCTTTCCCAGCTATTCCCTAGAAAGTGCTTTTGATGTTAACTGTCTCAAAAATTCTGACTCCAGGCGTGAACACTCACCCTTCGGCATCTGACGCTTTTGTCCACCATGCTGGACAGAAAGAGGCAATCCAGGAAGTTCCTCACGCAACGGCTTCCCGACTTCACACCTGGGTGGCCTCTCAGGCTCAGAGGAAGGGGTTGGCTGGACACACACACACACACACACACACAGTTCCAGACAGGAACTGCCAAGAACCAGAGAGGAGTCAAGGGCAATGCGGCAGGGGGGCACAGGCCTGTAATCCCATCATCAGAAGGGTCCCCAAGGCGAAAAAGGGGAGCCTGGTTCATTCCCCGGCAGGGTACAGGTGTGCTGACCTCCATCACAGAAAAGGAGTTTCAAGACGCCATCAGTGGGAGACATAAAACGGTTTATTGGTCAGAATTTTAAAGTCCACACTCAGAAATAGAATGTGGAGGCGCCGGGTGGCCCCAGCTGGGGGTATGTACCGGGCTTAGAGTGGAGATGTGCTCTTGTCCATCTGTGGGTAGAGGTGACTCCCTTCACAGATGAAGGTGGGCCCTTTCTCAGGGGAAGGGCAATCCCCATTCTTAGGGGACAGCCAGGAGCCATCCCTAAGACAAAGGCCGGTTTTCCATGCGAACCATAACTATCTACACTGTGAAAAGGGCCCATTTACAGCCAAAGGAATAGCCAGGTTTATTGAGTCTTTCAGGACCTTAGGAATTTCTGACGGGGTCTGAATCGCTAAGTCACAGTTGGGGTTTTTTTTTTAAGTACACTTTAAAATTACGATTTTCGTTGTCTCCTATCTTTATTTCTTCTATCCTACCTCAATCCCAGCCCTGGGGAGGCTGAAGCAGGAAGATCCCGAGTTCGCCACCAGTCTGGGCTACACAGCAAGCTCACGCCCAGCTGACTACGTGGCCAGCTGGCTCAAAAAACTAAAAGCCTCTGTGAAGGACCGGTGGTGTCCCCGCGGCGGCCCTGTCCTGCTAGGTCCCGCAGCCCGCGGCTCTCAGAACCCCGGGTCCTGATCTCCGCGGCACTGGGGCACGCCCGCAGACCCAGCTCCGCCTGCTTGCGCAAGCGCGAACCCCACCGCGCGCACTGTTTCCCATCAGGCTCTGCGTGGGCAGGAGCGACGAAGTGGCCTGCCGACCGACAGAGGGCGCACCAGGCAAGCGCGGCGCCTGCACGCGCGGGCGAAAGACCAGGACGACGCAAGGAAACAACGCTGTTTTCGCGAAAGAGCATGCGAGAGGCGGGATTCGGCAGGATGCAGCGCCTCGCAGAGCACTGGCCCCGAGCACCGGAAGGTGAACACAGCCGCGTACAGCCTCCTCGCCCGCGAGGGGCTTCCCAATGTCGCGGTGTAACCACTGGCCGCGTTTCCGGGAGGAGCCTGAGCGCTTCCGGGTCGGCACCCTCCCGGGCGGGGAGGGGCTCCGCGCTCTCGCGCGATCCAGCCACGCCCAGCTGCGCTCGCCCCGCCCTCCCAGGAGGACGGGTCTCTTGTTGGAAAGGAAGACGTTGAGGAGGTGTCCGGTCGAATAGCGGGAGTGAGCCGAGCGTTCTCTAAAGTTCGGCGGCGCAGACAGCACTGCCGGAGCCTGATGCCGGAGTCAGGTGTGTGTGCTGGTAAAGGGGCTCCGTGTGTGACTTACTACCAGAGTTTGGAATTCTGCGAGTCCCAGTGTTTTAAAAGATTAAAAGACCAGATCTCAGGGCTTGTGCAGACATACTACTTTCAGATCTTTATTCACTTTTCTGTTGTTTTTTGAGTCATGGTCTCACTATGTAGTTCAGGCTGGCCTTGAACTCACCATGTAGCCTAGGCTGGCCTTGAACTCCCCGCTCTCCTCCTGCCTCAGCCTCCCCGAGGGCTGAGGTTACAGACATGCGCCTTCACACCCGGCTCACGTTATTTTAAAATTGCACCATTTAAATCCCTGTCACGTGACAGGCAGCCCCTGCTCTGCACAGTTGTGACAGCAATTCCAGGCAAGCACACTACTCACATTCCAGGTGACCATGACGGTGCAGAGAGCCCAGGCTTGGCCGCGAGCCCTCTTGTCAAAAATTGCAGCACCCACAACAGCTGTGCGGCAGGACTGGTCCCCATTCACACTGCTCTCACGCAGTCTGTCAGTGACTGGTCACTGTCCCTTCACAAAGAGATGAAACGTGTGCCTTGTGGCCTGGTTGCCGTGGTCTCTTGCCATACGGGGTCGCTAAGCACTGACACCTCCCTATGAACCTCAGTGCAAAGGCCCTGGATTCAATCCCCAGTACCACAATAGAAAAGTCCAGTGTCCCCTGCACAAATCCGAATGAAGCTTAGCTCTCCCCTACTGTCAGTAGTTACCGAACAAAACTTTTCTGACACAGTCATAACACAGGGCCCACAACAGAGATGGGGGACGGACAAATTCCTGGGCCTTAGCATGCCAATCACTAAAAGCAAGATTTGTGTTTTCTTCTGGAAACTTGTCATTTTTTTTTAACACAAGCAAAACATTTATTGGTACATTTTAGATATACATAGTGATAACATGCATCATAGGAAATTTGTATCTGTACATGATAAATCTTTTGTTTTTTGTTTTGAGACAGGGTCTCACTTTGTAGTGCAGACTGGCCTTGAATTCACATCGATCCTCCTGCCTCAGCTTCCCAAGTGCTGGGAGCATGCGGCACCATGCTCTGCACCTGTACATGATATATCTTGCTTCTTCTTTTCCTATTCCCTACCCCCGTCAGCCCTTCTTCCCCTCCTTATACACAAAAGCTTGTTTCTATTTTCTTTGTCTCTTCTTGCCTTTCCCCTCCCCCTCCCTTGTTCCCCTTCTCATTTGAACATTTTCTTCCCATTTCCCAATATCTATTTTACATTTTAGTCCTTATTTCCACTTTCAGTTTCTCACACCAGAAAAACAATACAGTATTTAAACATGTGTCTCTGATTTATTTCACTTAAGATTATGGTCTCAAGCCTCATTCATTTAGCTATAAATGTCTGAAGCTCTTCCTTCTTTATGGCAGAGTAGTAGTCCACTGTATAAAAAAAAACCCACATGTTCTGTATCCATTCCTCCATTAATGGGCATTTGGGCTGTTTCCAAGATTCAGCTACAACAAACTGTGCCGCTATAAACATGAGTGTGCACATATCCCTGTGGTATGATGTTAAAAGCCATTTTTGCTATAAGCCAAGACTTCATTTGGGCCTACCGATGCCCAACAGGTAACTAAAGGGAGACTAAAGTTTAACCATTTTGTATCCTTTGTTACCTTAAAACTTTGGATCACATCCTTAGTTCTGCTGACGGGCTTGTTTAACCATTTAGGGAGTGTCTGTCCAAAAGTTGGCAAAACAAGGTCAACTGGCCTTGAATTTATGTAATCTTGCTCCTTTGAAGATTGTGGCCCCCAGCATGGGGGATTTCCAGGAACATTCAACATTGCCAGAAGTCTGCTGTGAGCTTGCCAGCACCTGGAATCCAGGAAAAGCTGAGCCACCTGCCTGAGACCACAGAGATAAACCTTTCCTACAGAGACCACGGCTCAGCCATGAGGACTTCAGAGCTAGGACACCAAACTGAGATGATGCTGCCCACCAGAAAAAGTTTTGTGACCAAGGATGCCTAGTATCACCTTATTATTTAAGGGGTTTTTTTTTTGGGGGGGGGTTGTTTTGAGACAAGGTCCCACTGCGTAGTCCAGGCAGGCCTTTGAATTCACTATGTAATGTAGCCCAGGCTGATCTCTAACAGGCTGCTCCTCCTGCCTCAGCTTCCCTAGTGCTGGGATGATGGGTGAGCCACCATGTCTGGGTCCAAAATGTTTATCAGTACAATAATTCAAAAAACCAAAAGCGGGGCTAGAGGTGTAGTTTAGTGGTAAACCACATGCTTAACGTGCTCAAGGCCTTGGGTTCAATACCCAGCAACAAAAGACATTATGTTTATAAAAAATAATTAAAAACCAAGAAAACTGGGGCTGGGGGATGAACTTTTGGTGAGTACTTGAAATATTTAAGCAAATCATCTACATACAAAAAAATGTGCAAAATCAAAATCACTTTCCTGTATACCAATAATAAAAGCTAAGTCTACTTATGTGGCATTACAGATCAAGGTACAACATTAATATAAAAGCATGTTTTGTTCCTTTGTTTTTCGTTAAGTCACTCAATTGCCCAGGCTGGGCTTGATCCTCCTGCCTCAGCCTCACAGATAGCTGAGAATACAGGTGTGCACCTGAATACAGGTGTGCACCACCTCGTCCAGCAAAGCATGACATAAGGACAAATCCAGAGATACAAACTAGAACACGTTAAGTGAGGTAACTGGACAGCTCAGTGGTTTGACCTCCCAGGGGGCAGTAAGGCCAGGGCAGGATCTGAGCAGCTAGTCCAGATGGTTCATTCCCATCCAGCCATACAAGGGCTGTGTGACAGTGGACACTGGGTAGGGACACCCAGGAATCCACAGGGCCATTTTCCAGATGGGCGCTGCATGACCCAGGACAGAATCAGCAGGGAAAGCAAACACTCCAGGAGCTGAGACTCCCCTGGGGAAGTCTTCCAAAATATCTGCTTCCCACTCTAGCCTGATGGCAGCTCACAGCACACAGTCTCTCCTGACCTTACCATCTGGTGTATCTGGAAGCCCTGTGCCCCGCAGCTACCGACCCTCTCTGTGCCTGCCTTCATACCGTGGTGGTTGTCCGACACTAACATGCACACACCACGAGGGAGGTACTCAGGCTTCGTTTCAATTGGAGGTCCTTCAATGCAGTCCCAGAGGTTTAGCCAGTGGAGCCTATGTGTGGATGTGAGCCCACTGCATGCTGAGCTAACTCGGGAGGTTTCAGATGAGCTTCATTTGGTTTGCACATACAGTTTTTCTACACTTTTCTACTGAAGTGCTGCCCACTCAGTCAGGAATCAGCTGGCCCTACTTTTTTGTTTGTTTTGGTTTTTTGAGACTGGGTCTTGCTATGTGGTTCAGACTGGCCTTGAACTCACTGTATGGCCCAGGCTGACCTCAAACTTGCGGCAATCCTCCTGCCTTAGCCTCCTAAGTGCAGGGATTACAGACAAGCGCCACCATGCCTGGTCAGCTGGCCCTACTTGTGTACATCAACATCGGGACTATAGATCCCTTCACGATACTGTGCTACCTCAACTGTAACTTCATAAAAAGCCTTAAAGCTTGCCAGTGGGTTTCTTCTAAATATTCTTTCCCAAAATAGTTTTGGCTACTCAGTCCTTTTACCCTTTTTCATTACATACTGCCCCTCTTTCATTACATACTGCCCCTCTTTATTCCGCATCATGTCCATTGCTTTAAAGTCCAATTTGTCTAATATTAATACTTACATCAAGTTTCTTTCACCTGCTGTTTACATCATTTCTTTTCCCATTCCCTCACCTTTAAACTACTTTATAGTCACATATGACTTTCTTAGAGACAGCGTTAAGAGTCAGGCCACACGTTTTCTTCATCCATTTTGGCAGCCTGTGTCACTAGTTGAACTGCTGATGTCATTTACACTTTATGCCTAAATGGGTTAATACCAAGCCCCAAACAGCTCTTAGGAAGGTCTGCTTATAAGGGTGGCCCTTGACTGGGCTTTGGTAACCAGGAACTGTGGTACAACTTCCCTTGAAGGAGAAGGCTGGCTCCCATTCCTACACTGCGGGGCAACACTCTGTGGAGCAAACACCTCCTTCCCTTCTGTGGTCCACACTGCAAACACGGTGGTTCATGCTCAACGGCCACTTCCTGTCTGGGCATCCGGAGCTCAGTGACTGTGTCAGCAGCCCCCATGCTTGGCCTGGCCTGCACCACCTGCATGACCTATACAACCAGCCCTGTGGAGAGCCTGGGGACACAGCACACCATTGGGCCACTGGCTCACATGCATGAGGTCCTGCACTCCAATCCCAGCACCACAGAAAAGGGGTACAGACCTCAGACTCCTAGCCCCAGCCTCTGGCCAGCACTTCACAGAGCTTGCTGCCGGGACTGAGCAGGCCTGTGCGGCTCCCCTGTGGACTCTGAGAAGCTTATGCCTGGACTCCTGCATCACATGCATCTTCTTGCCTTCTGCTGACTCTGTTATAATAAATCTTAGCCACAAGTGTGAGTTCTTCCTGTGAAAAATAAATCTCGTTTTAAAAATTTCATCAGGGATGGGGTGTAGGTCAGTGTAGTGTTTGCCTAGCACACACAAGGCCCTACGTTCTATCCCCAGAAACACACACACACCCACACACACACACACAATTTAAGTTTCACTTAGCAAACAAGACACATCTAAAATTAAAGACAGCGGGGTCGGGGATTTAACTCAGTGGTTCCAGTGCCTGCCTTGCAAGTGCAAGGTCCCGAGTTTGATCCCTGATACCGAAAATAAATAAATAAATAAAATTAAAGAGAGCTTCAAAATCAAAGACTTAAAATTCCGTGTTATCACAAAGACCAAAACCCTACAGTATGAGTATTGTTTTGTCTTGAGACAGGGTCTTGCTCTGTAATTCATGCTGTCCTTGAACTATGTAGCCCAGGCTGGCCTAGAATCCTGGTGATCCTCCTGAGTGCTGGGATTAGAGGGGTGTGCCACCATGCCCAGCGAGTACTGTTTTATTTCGGATTTAATGTTTTAAACTCTTAAAATCTTAAATTTGACCCAGGAATATAACTCGGTGGTAGAGTACTTGTCTACCATCTCCAATGCCCTGGCTTCAATCCTAAATGCTACAAAAATAACATCTTAAGGGATTATAAACACTAAAAACTTGAAAAAAGTCAAAATTTTAAAATTATGGAACTAACAATCTTATCTTTAAATTGTTCAAAAGCCAGAAATAGGTTTCGAGTGGGTTCAATGCAACAAGATAAAAAATATTCCTGTGACGGAAATAACTTCAGTGTACATATACAGCTGCTGATGTATGCTGCAACATTTTGAGGAATACAAAATAGTGAAAAAGAATTTTTTTAAATAGGTGCTCCTCGAGCTCACAGATCCACATGCACGTTAACAGCTGTGCACCACTCCTTGGTCACCTACAGGATGTTGACAGAAGTGCAGTGTTTCCACAACACCACCCTCACACCTGGAGCTGCTCAAACCAGTACTACCCGGATGCCTCTGTGCGTCAACATCCTGTCCTTTTCAGCTCTGTGTGACTTCAGAATGTCCCTATTCCTGTGTCCCACAGGCTCTCCTTTTGCAGGGCCATTTCATACAGACTTCTGATAAAACTTCAGTGGGAGATGAATACCTGATATCTGCAATTATAACCACTTCTGGGAAAAACAGACAACGCGGATGGGGTTCAGGAACTAGATTAACTTTACCACTTGAAACAATCCAAAAAATTGACAAAATATAGGAAAAAAATGGTTTCAAAGAACATGGACCCCAGGCAGACGTGGTGGCACACCCCTGTCATCCCAGCACTTCGGAGTCTGAGGCAGGAGGATCATTTTAAGTTCAAGCCCAGCCTATATATGAGTTAAAGGCCAAAACTACATAATGAGACCGTTTCAAAAAATAAATAAATAAAAAAGAATATGACCAGAGACAGCAGAGTAAGCCCCCTCAGGACAGTTAACAGTGATGGGTATGTAGCTCAGTGGTACAGCACCTGCCTGGCAAGCATGAGGCCCTGAGAAGACAGGAAACAAATGAAATAAGTCCTACAAGTGCCCAAGCTCACTCCCTTGGGAGATATTTCTTTGCAAGTAACTAGTTTATTTCTTTACTGGCAGTTCACATCCCCTTTTTTTGGGGGGTAGTGGTACCGGGGATCAAATTCAGGACCTTGCACTTGCAAGACAGGCGCGGTGCCGCTGAGCTAAATCCCCAGCTGTCCGGTTTTGTTTTGTTTTTTTTTTTGGTACCGGGGATCAAACTCGGGTCCTTGCACTTGCGCAACAGGAGGCAAAAGCACTGATCTAAATCCCAGGCCCCAGCTGTCCCTTTTTAAAATTTTGAGAGAGGGTCTCCCTAAATTGCTAAGTAGTTGCCCAGGAGAGGCTGGAATTTACAATCCTCTTGCCTCAGCCTCCCAGACCCTGGGATTTCAGGCATACACTACCATGTGTAGCTTCCCTTGGGAAGTGTTTAGATGGTGTACGGGGAAAACACTGAGGTGGCACCTAGACCACTCCTTGAATTACGGCATACTGGAGAGTTTGGGGAGACTGAGGTAGGTAGAGGTCACAGAGGTGAGCTAGATGGAGACCAGACACCTGCAGTGTCCCCTTGAACATACAGCAGAGTATTTATTCATTTTGATGACGGGAAAGGAACCCAAGGCCTGGTGCATGCAAGCACATGCCCCAAGCTCCCAGCAGAGATATTTACCAATTAGCACGTGAATGAAGGAAAATGAGCCACATCTGGGAAAAGAATAATCCAAAAGGACAGGTGTGGGCCAGGTAAAGCCGCACATGCCTGTAATCCCAGAATTCAAGAAGTTGAGGCAACACCTTATATAGTGAGACCTTGTCTCAAAAAAAAAAAAAAAAGATCAGTGCTGTGCCCTGTGGGCACACGGTGCCTGCCAGACCAACTGCAAGAGGCTGTAAGTCTAGGCCTACTAGGCAGAGCATGCAGGAAAACCTCCCACAACAGTGGGATAAAGAGCCCTAGAGAGTCAGACATAGTGGAATACACCTGTAATCCCAGCACTCGGGAAGCTTAGACAGGAGGACCGCCATGAGTTTGAGGTCAGCCTGGGCTACAAAGCAAGACTATGTTTCAAAAAACCAAAAGAAATAAAAAAAGGAAATGAAGACTTCCAATTCAGGAAAAGATAGAGTAGACACTATTTCATGTTTCCCCACCAATGCAGCTAAACACTCTGGACTTTATAAAAAAACATATCAGGGATTGTGGCCAGGGTGTAGCTCCATGGTTGGGCCTGTATTTAACATGCATAGCCTCTGGGTGTGATTCCCCAGGACCACAAATACAAGCCAACCAATCCACAGACTGAGAGTTAAAGAGAAAAGGAGACCAGCTAAGGACCCTCAGCCCAAAGGCTGGCACAGCATGGCAGTGGTTCCAGGTTTGCTTCTGCCCGATACTCCAGGATAGGGGCAGAGAACCCAGCAACCTGAAATGTAAGAGTAGAGTGTAGGTCTGCTCTACAGTCAAGTTCACTGTAGAGTGAACACTTGCTTGATTGGTTTTAATTACTCAAAAAGAAATAAAAAAGTTGTTCACAAATGTACACAATGCTGGAATGGATGACATGACTAAGGCTAGACTGTGAAGTGAAACAATCCAATTTGCCTTTGAGTCGAACGTCTGTCTGACTGTAACCCTAGTCCACACCCATACCACCCTGAACATGCCCGATCTCCTGACTATAACTCTGTACATTCCTTTGGAAAATTTACAGGCAATGAATGTATGCCAAATGAAAATGCCAGTGCAAACATGCCAAACCTTGTAATTGTTTTCAAAATCTTAAAACCTATCTCAAACTCCTGTATCGAAACAGAAGGAGGGCTGGGGATTTAGCTCAGTGGCATCATACCTGCCTCGAAAGCACAAGGTCCTGAGTTTGATCCCTGGTACAAAACAAAACAAAAAAACAGAAGGGAAGGCTGAATAATTTTCATTGTTCTCAGGACTGGGGTTAGCCAGTTTATGAAAACAGTTATTTGTCATAACTTTAATTTGCTATAATTCAATTTCATTTTGTACACTCTTTTTTTAAACTATAGAACTTGTTTTGAAATTAAGTTTCATAAATTGAATTAAGAGTATCTTTTTTTTTTGGTACCAGGGATCGAACTCGGGTCCTTCCACTTATGAAGCAGGCGGCGGATAAGAGTATCTTAATATGTTAAGAAAAGCTTATTGGTGTTTTTTGGTTTTGGTACCAGGGATTGAACTCGAGTCCTTGCACTTGCAAAGCAAGTGGCGGAACCACTGAGCTAAATCCCCAGCCCAAGAAAACCTTATTGTTTTAGACATATAAAGTTTAATTTTTTCAATTATAGCCAATTTAAAATTTTTTACAGCAAAACATTTATTGGTACATTTTAGGCATACATAATGATAACACTCATCATTGGGAATTTGCACCTGTACATGGTACATCCCGCCCTTTTTCCCCATTCCCCCCTCCATTGTGTACACTGTATTGTACAATGTATTGAAATACAGCACAGATAAATTGACTTTCACCTTGATGACACATTTATCCCATTTAAATGAGTAGTCAAATAAAAAAAAAAATGGCTGGGGATTTGGCTCAGTGGCACTGCACCTGCCTTGCATATCCGAGGTCCTGAGTTCAATCCCTGGTACCAAAAAAAAATACAAAACTGGTGATGAACTTTTCATCTTCAAATTCCTTGGTTTCCATAAATGACAGTATCATTTCACAATTCACAAAATCTTTCCAGCATTTTACTCCAACTTGGCCACCTCACTTCAGCAAAGTAAATGATGTCCCCATAATCAACATCCTTACTCTTAAAGAACTCACGGAATTGGTGATGATTCGATCCCTAGGACCTCATGAAATTCACAGCTTTGATGATGATTTGCATAACATCTTTTTGTTGTTGTTCTGGTACTGGGGATCAAACTCAGGACCTTGGGCTTGCAAGGCAGGTGAGGCAGCACTGAGCTAACTCCCCGGCTGACTCACTGTTTCAACTCATGGTGATTTTCCTGCCTCAGCCTCCGGTACTGGGATTATAGGCATGCACCACCACACCTACCTCCCATAACATCTTTTTTTTTTTTT